CGTTTGCTGACGGCCGGGTGAGCGGAGAAGGCGTTGGTCTTCATCAGTTCTGCCTTTATGAATGAGCGTGGATGCGGTGTGGCCGCCGGGGAGCCGGTTACGCCCCGCGGACCCGCTTAGCTGGAGCCACGGCCATTTTGCATTTTTCATTTACATCGGCGACATTTTCATGAACGGAGTGGCGCACTAGCGCGCCCAGCCCTGCCATACGGGTCTTTCATTCATGTTTTTCAGAAGGATTTACGCGTGTCAGGGCTGTCATCTGCAAGCACTCTAGGCTTCCCCAGGCAAGATGCAAATAAGACCGAAGCCGATGGCAAAATTTTCCAAGGCTTTTTTTTCTTTCAACGGACTGATGGTACGCTTTTTTTTTTTTTTTTTTTGAATGGTGCGCTAACTGCCTGTAAACATCCAGTGTGCACGTTGGCGAAACCAGTGAGTTTTCAGCCACAGAGGTTACGTTAGAACTATTCAGAAGCCTGAGAATGCTTGCTCGGTCCATTGCTCGGCAGCCAGCTCGACGGGCAGCGTAAAGATAATAGCCCTCGCAAAGAGGCTGTACTTTAAACTAGGAAGAAAAGCGTCCTTCGTTCTGATCTCGAGCAAAGACGGTTTTAGGAGAACTACCTGTGTTTACCTACTTGCCTCCACCCGTTCTGTAAACAGGCTGTCCTCTCGCCTTTAAAGATTCAAGGTCAATCTTCGGCTATAGGAGCTCTCGCCCTGTTTACACTTTTTTCCCCTGAAGCCACGAGGAGAAAAGCTTTCCTCTCTGTGCACTGGCAAACAGGGACGATATCGGTGCTGATGTAGAGCCGCTCCTCCCTGACTTTTGTGTACGTTATCTTTTTGCTTGGGATGGAAGCTGGCATTTGGCTGTCCACCCGCCGTTCCTTTTACTGGACTGCTGCTGCCCGAGCCGTCTGCTCTTTAAACTGCCTTTGTGCATTACACGGACCTCACCCACCCAAGCTGCTGCTTCTGTTTACGGGCAAGTTGTTTGTGGGATCTGCAGGTGCAGGTGCTCGTTAGCTGAACACTGTCTCATCTTTATGCAAGAAAGCTCATACTGCACTGATTGCAGGCTCACTTGATTTTGAGGAGAGAAATGGATGTGGTCTAATGCTCTTTCCAAAGACATTTTTGTGAAACTTTATTTGGCTACCACTGAAAATCTGATATAGAACAGTACACATTTTGAAGTCTCTGAGAAGCTAATTTTTCCTGCTTGAAAAATCCATACTCAAGGTTAATCTGGGATTTAGTCATGGACTTTCTTGAAGCAGAGCAGAAGTGATTCTAAAGAGAGTTTTAGTGGCTAATAGTGCTTTATGGTATCATCCTTAATGATGCAGTGTGTTCCTCTGCTTATGTTTGACCAGTGCTGCGGGACTAATGTGGCATGTGAAGTCAATGCTTTGATTCTATTTTGTCCATGTCCTATTCAGACAGCACTTAAGTAACCAGGAAAGACCCTTCCCTTCCCAATGTGGTACTGAAAAATTAGATTTCTGCCTCTTACTTCGATTTGGGCATCCACATGGGATGAAGAGGCTCATTGTGTCCCAGCAATAACATCTGTGCAAGTGGAAGGCACAGCACATCCCTCAGATATTAGTAATAAACTAGACTGAAGCATTCTGACAGTTAATTAACAACCAAGGGTAGAATCAGAAGCTTGAACTTTGATTGACATCTACTGGGCTCTTGAGTGAGCTGCACTGCAGGAATTCTACTTATAGTAGCATATAACAAGGTCTGCATTGCTATTTAGCTTTCAATTTAATTAGGAGAATTGACATACACTGTCCGAGATGCTGCACAAACCAGCTAAAATGAAAACCGTTAGCAAGTCTCTGCATTTGAATGCAAGTTTCATTATTGCATTTGAGTGCTTCATGTCAATGATTCACATGTGTGCCCACGTTGCCTGCTCACCAGAGATTTCAGTGCAAGCCACTGAGAAGAAACAGAAGACGTTTTTAGGACATATCTACATGAACATTCAGAGATTCTGAAATCTGGGTGATAACATCAGTATGCTTTGTCCTATTTTCTTCTTCACCTGGTCACTATTTACCACTAGAAGCAGAATAGGTGTTGAGGATAAGGACTTTCTGTTTTGCAAACAAGACCAAAAGATTCCTTTACCACTGCACAGCAACGAAACTCTTGCAGCTTCTTTGTACAGCTAGTGCAAAACATAGGACTTCTTGATGGAGAATGTGTGTTGACTGTAGAGTAAATACCTGTTTCTTCTTTATTTGAAAACATTGCATTAAAAACATTGCTTAAAAATAGAAAACTAGATAATTAGAGAAGGAAAGATATTTTTAGGATGTACAGAGGTCTGTGGTTACTGACACGCTCATTCCACACTAACCAGTTGCAGCAGTTTATAACTGGAATAAGACCACAAGGGATTAATAAGTAATGTACAACTCCATACATTTAATTCCATTTATACAGGTAACGAATGGGAATGGTTCTTGCTTCAGTTATTCATTCACATGGGTCAGAACTTTTCTAATGAAATGGTTTCCCTCAGGGAACATGCATTCGTCAAAATCAAAATGTACAGCAGAGATTGCTTGGTTTGATCAAAGGCTGAATGCAGAACAAGCAGCCTTCTGGTGTCCCACCAGCTGGGCTGCTGGGCCTCTTGGCAGCCCTCCCCAGGGCTGGCAGGAGCTAAGATCCTGAGCACACAAACAACCTGCCAGCACCCAGCTTGAAAGTCCTCAGCACTGCTGGCTTCCAAAGCTAAGAGACCATGCAGGACATCAGTGAGAGATTTCAGAAACTCTCTTTACTCACTCAATTTGGTGATACTTGTTTTTCTTTCCAACTCAGAATGAAACCAAATTTAATTGACAAAGAATTACTCTTCTCTGGATAGCTCTATTATTTATTATCTATTTTACAGTAACTGCTAGTTACGCTGAGATCTGTACAGAACCCAGCTGTGGTCCTTTCCTGAAAGAGTTCGTAGTCTGACTCATAGAGCTCAACAGCATTCATTTGATTTTTACTTATTGTAGTTTGATTTTTCAGGGCTGGAGAAGAAAATGTTTGTGTATAGTTCTAACACCAGAGTCCTAGTCAATGCCCATCAATAGGCAACTGTCTCAAATGCTGCTCTGTTACCATTTAAAGGTATCTGCTGAATACTGAGGTCTATGCATACATGCATGTGTTGGTAGAATTGGATGAGTCATGTATTCTCTTAAATGGTGCCATGATCTTCATGAATCCTATTTGATTGCTGTAGATAAGCCATATTTCATTTAATTGCGTTTTAAGTTATTACATTTAATTTTGTCCAGATTACTTGGGGAATCTGGCACTGAAAGAGCTTTACTTTTGTAATATCAGCATGAGAGTCACCTTTATCTGTTGGATGAATAATAACTAGATGCGCTTTATCATTTTAAAAAAGACTCCACATAGGAAATGATACAATACTTATACATCTCATCTACCTAAGATATAGAATGTATGAGCTCAATTTATGTAAGAGTTCGAGTATCAACCGAAGTACATTGGTGTTTGCATAATATGGGGATTACTGGCAGGAAAGAGTCGTGCACATCCTCGTGAGATAGACAAAAAGTAGAAAAGCATTAAAAGATGAAGCTGATTTGAAATTATGCCATTTTCTTTCTAGATTCTTATATCCAGATGTGTAACTAGTTCCACTCTATATG